TTGTTGTTGTTGTTGTTATTGTGGATCATTACGATAAGAGTAACCTTACAGTTGTTGGTGGTGGTAATTGTGATATTCTCGGTGTCGCTGATGTTGCGCCAGGTGTTATTAACATGCCGGGGTTTGGTTAACGTCGGTTGTTGTCGCCTTGTATTTTGCTGCTCATTAACATCAGTCTGCGGGTTTATGAGTGAAGGCGTTAAGTGGTTTGAAGGGTGAATGTTATATCGAGGTTTGGTACTGCGCAGCATTTGGGAAATAGTGTGTTGATGTTATGATAAAATGCACCCCTCCCACTGTAACTGAGTGCGACCTTGTTTTCATTTTATGATGGTCTAATATAAAATGATTGTTTCACTGATGTTGGTGTGTATCAAGTGCGACTCACATGAGGTGCTGGTTTCATACAGTTTGTTCTGGGAGCTGGTTAGAATACAGTTTTACCCTAAAGGGCCAGGAGAACATGATATTGATGCCAGCTTGAACCCTGATGGTTTTATGAGATTCATATTCTATTATTTACTATCAATGCACATAATCTAGTGCAATTTAAAAAAAAAAAGAAAAAAAAAAGTTCCTTCATGTTTTGTATTCCCATTCTGTACCAGTACAGGCTTTAACTTGTTTTATTGCCTTGTTGTGGGTAGTTTTATTGGGTTGTCGGTGTGTGTGTGTGTGTGTGTGTGTGTGTTTGGCACTGTGTTTGTGTGACAGTGTGTTCCAGAAATGGCAGCATCATCACTGGCATGTTTGTGTTGGCACCTTGACGTGAAATCCTGCACTAGCCATGCTTTTTTAGCCTATGTCTACTGCGACTCTATTGGCCCTTTCCAAAGGCATTCATCTGTGTACTTTTGATTGTGACTGTTGATGGAATCACTTCACACGCAGATGTACGCTCGTACAGTGTTAACTGGCCAGCTTGGAATAACTCAAAGATAAATTTGTCTAGTGCCAAGAGCAGGAGGGGGGGTGGATAAACTGCGTGTGTGTGTGTGTGTTTGAAAAGAAAAAGACTGAGTTGCAGATTCATTTTCTGATAACACTGTTTTCTATTTTAGAATTGGCCAGCATGAATACTCCCTGGTTAAACTGATGATACCAGAGCATGAAATCTGGAATATACACAATTATCCATTAAAATGTGCGCTAACAAACACCCTACGTCATTTACTTTAACGTTTGGAGACTTTATCACTTTTCCATTGTCATATTCAGATTACATTCACCATTCATTTACCAAATAGTTATCCACTCACGTAAGACTCAATCAGGTTCACTAAACTATGTGGATGCATTCTACTGGTGTTAGCACAGTATCCTTCATGAATTGAGGTTGCTTTTAAACTGGTTAGTGCGTAGCAAATTGTTGTTTCTCAACTTTTGAGGCTTGGGATTAATTCAACGCCGGATAGAGCGAACAGGTATATACAAGTACACATTCCCTTGTTGCCAACAACCCACTCACACTCCAGTATAACATGACACATTTACTTTCCTCTTCTTTGGCTCCAGTCTGGTCAAATGCCGGCCCCAGCTCTCCTGACGCCACTGCACTGAAGATGACTGCAGCTTTCTATTAAAAGAGCGCTTGTTCTCAGGAATTGACTGCTTTTGATGCGACTTCAGTGATGAGTCATCAAAAGAGGGGGGGTCTGTGATATCCCCAGCCTTTTTCTTCCACCT